CCCGAGCCGTCGTGGGGGGGGGGGGTGGTCAGTGTGGGTGGTGCCCTGCACCTTGTTTTCAGGAGTGGGAGAGACTGAGAAGCAAGGAGGCATTTAATAGTCATGGAGTCCAGACCCGGGACAGGGCAAAGGGGAAATTGCTCTGGGGCCTGGTGATTCTAAGGGGGCCAGGGCTCCCTCCCAACACCACTGCTACTGTGGTGGTGCCCAGCACCCCTTTGAATTGCCGCCAGAGCACTGAAGCGCTGCTCTGCAGCACTCTGGGAGTTGGGGTGAGGGGCAGCTCTGCAGCCCAGGTAGCAAGAGATGTTGGTCCCGGGACAGGGCAAAGGGGAAATTGCTCTGGGGCCTGGTGATTCTAAGGGGGCCAGGGCTCCCTCCCAACACCACTGCTACTGTGGTGGTGCCCAGCACCCCTTTGAATTGCCGCCAGAGCACTGAAGCGCTGCTCTGCAGCACTCTGGGAGTTGGGGTGAGGGGCAGCTCTGCAGCCCAGGTAGCAAGAGATGTTGGTTGAGCCGTCCCCCCCCCCCACACACACACACTCACCTTGCCCTGGGGCCTGTGGTAGCTGTCAGCCCCACTGATAGAATCCTAGCTGTGTCGGAGGGGATGGGACCTTGAGAGGTAATCTAGTCAAGTCCCCTGCTCTGAGGCAGGGCTACTTAACCCTGCCTGAAATGTGTTTGTGTAACTGGGTTTTAGCCTCCTGTGACTGAGTTTCTACAGCTTCTCTAGGGAACTTGTTCCACACAAGCAGTTTTTTTTCTTCCTGGAAGGCGCATGTGTGTGGCAGCACCTTGTTCAGTGTTGAAGTTCAAGATCAGAGCAAGGAGGTGATAGTGCAGAGCTAGGGAAGGGGGACATCTAATGATGTCTCAGTGGTACATTTTTTAAATGGCGGTATATGAAAGCCTAAAAGGAGCAGGACCAGGAGAAAGTACCCTTGGGCTTAGACTGGTGCTGTGTTATGGCCTAGAATATGGCGCTATATAGTCTGCTCCTGGGGGAATTCTGGGCCAGAAAAATTCTGCAGAAACATTTTAAAATTCCACAGATTTTTCTTGTCACAATAACACTGTATAATCATGCCAGTTTCAATTATTTTGGCAAATTTTATTTCAAAATGCCCAATAGCAAATACGCCTGACACAATACAGACACTCACAAGGAGCGAGGGTCGCAAGTTACAGTGGGGGAGGTTAGGTTGGATATTAGGAAAAACTATTTCACTAGGAGGTTGGGGAAGCACAGGAATGGGTTCCCTAGGGAGGGGGTGGAATCTCCATCCCTAGAGGTGTTTAAGTCCTAGCTAGACAAAGTCCTGGCGGGGATGATTGAGTTGGGGCTGATCCTGATTTGGGCAGGGAGTTGGACTCAATGACCCCCTGAGATCTCTTCCAGCCCTAGGATTCTATGATTTCCCCTGGAGTAGAAAGCTAAAAAAGCCCCTATGACAACCCAGCCAGGGATCATGATACTAAGCCTCTTCACATACGTCCTGAGTTCAGCCATTCCCCGCCCCACACCCCCTTGCCATCCAGACACACTCTCGCCCTCTTGCAGCCCAACAGCCACCTGCAGGGTGTTCCAGGCTCAAACTCACTCCCAGGGATCCGGAGGGAGAAACAGCCTGACACTGGGACCAGAGTTTCTTGCACACTGTTACCTCCTTCCCTCAAGGCATGCTGGGAGCTACAGTTCCCTCCTGTTCCCCCTCCCTTCTCCCACCTTGTCTTCTGTTTGCAAGCTGGTCTAGGTCAGGTCCAGCAGCCCCTAGTGGCAGCCAACAGCACTGCAGCCCATTTCAGTCGGGTGGGGGGAGGGAGGAAATTCTGTGCAAATACCATTTACTTGTGCAAAATTCTGCATTACCCAGTGGCACAGAATTCCCCCAAGAGCAATAGTCATGAGACTGAGGCCTGTGTGAATGAAACCATCTGAGATTCTCTCGCTACAGCAGCAAGTGTTTTCAGATGCCTGGCCTTTGTGCCCCTAGATCGAGAAGGCTGTTCGCTCCATAGTGATGCGCTACGGCAGCAGGTTATGGAAACTCCGGGTTCTGCAAGCTGAAGTGAAGATCAACATCCGTTTGACGCCCGACGGCAAAGCCATTCCTTTCCGCCTCTTCCTGACCAATGAGTCTGGCTACTACCTGGATATTAGTCTCTACAAAGAAGTGAATGATCCCAGGACAGGGAATGTGCGTATCTTATACTGGACCTAATGTAAAATGTTTAAAAAAATAAACCACAACAGTCTGAAACATCACCAGGCATTCCTTGAACCAGATCTTACCATCATAGCTGAGCAAGTACAATTTCAGGAGGGACTTTCTGCACCTTTTTAGGGCTGGATTCTCTTTAGGGCTTCCAGGGCCGGAGATTTGCCACTCAAGGCGATGTTAGTCCTGAAAATATTGTAACAAGTCTGGGGTCAAAAGTTGTCATTCAGCTGCATGATGTAGCTCCTGGAAACCTCCAAGTGACATCTGGAACAGAACTGTGACCCTCCCGCTTCAAAAGCCCCATTTAAACTAATGGGCTGTTTCCACAAGATCCCGACTAGTCTGGCGCTTTTCTCCTGCAAAACCCCAAGCCAGAAAAAGGCGGCAGCCATGTTCATGCAAATGCCGCGGGGGATATTTAAATCCCCCGCGGCATTTGCAATTCCGAAGTGTCTCATTAGCATCCCTTTTCCGGAAAAGGGTGCCAATGTAGACACAGCCATGGAGAATTGCTACAAGCTCTGAGCAGTATAGCAGTATGATGCATAGTTAGAACTTTTTGATTCCAAGCAGCAGAGGGCAGTGGTGCACACGTATGCTATTAGTTCATTACAATATCCTCTGTGATTTCCCCACTAAGCTGGATACACTGTTGTTCTGTATTGAATCCAGTCTGTTATCACTGATTGTGTAGGGCAGTCGTCATGTATTAATTGACCTGATGTTTCTAAAACAGTTTTGCATGCCTCCCTTCTGAGGGATTGTCCATTCACGTTGTAAAGAGAAATTCACTTGCGTGGGAGGGGAGCTGATTCTCCTACCTTCCTTTTAGATCATGTTTCACTCCTATGGTGATAAGCAAGGGCCACAGCATGGGATGCTGATTAACACTCCATACGTTACCAAGGACCTACTCCAGTCCAAGCGCTTCCAGGCTCAGACGCTAGGCACTACCTATGTGTATGACTTCCCTGAAATGTTCAGGCAGGTAAGTCCTGCTAAACAGGCAGTGGCCATGTTTCTGTCCTCCTTTTCTTTGCTGCTTGGGGGGAGGGGAGATGAGGGATGAACCACACTGGCCCCCAACTAGCATAAAGCCAGTTTCATTTCTATAAAGTCCTTTCCCAAGAAAAGCTTCGGCTAATGTAACAGTGATACAGCTCTACTGACTCCAGTGAGGCGGTGCCTGCTGAGAAGCTGGCCCAGAACATCTTAACAGGACTTGGCAGGCTGTCAGTTGTATTTGTCCCCCCTTATTTAATACATTATAATATTGTTAAGTGGATGTTCATTTACAATTCAGCAGTTGCCTTTGAACTGCTTCAGCACATGCTTTCTGTCTCATGAGGGGGTGGGTGCTTAATTGTCTTGACTGGTTCTTTTGCAGGCTCTCTTTAAATTGTGGAACTCTGGGGAAAGGTGCCCCAAAGATGTCCTAACCTACACTGAGTTACTGTTGGATTCCCAGGGTCAACTGGTGGAGATGAAAAGAATACCTGGAGGAAATGAGGTACAAGCAGAATGAATAGGGAATAGGTGGATAAAGTATGAAGCTGGGGAGGAGGTATGGTACAGGAGGGAGAGACAGAAAACAAGGATGAGATATGTGTGGGAGAGAAGGAAACAGACACCAAAGACAGAAAAAGATTCATCGTGATCTGTTATAGGAAGGAAAAGAGGGTATGTCTACACTACAGCGCTAATTCGAACTAACTTAGTGCGAATTAGTTAATTTGAACTAAGCTAATTCGAACTAACGCATCCAGACTAAAAAACTAGTTCGAATTAGCGTTTTGCTAATTCGAACTAGCATGTCCACATTAAGTGGACCCTGAACCGGGGTTAAGGATGGCCGGAAGCAGTGCCGGCAGGGCATCAGATGAGGACTTAGAGCATGGAGCTGCTGCCTCAGGCTAGCCGAGGGCTGTGCTTAAAGGGACCCGACCCCCACCCCGGACAGACAGTTCTCAGGGGTGCCCCACTTGCAAAGCAGTCCTGGCTTGGAGTGCCCTGAGTGCCATTAAGTGGACCCTGAACCGGGGTTAAGGATGGCCGGAAGCAGTGCCGGCAGGGCATCAGATGAGGACTTAGAGCATGGAGCTGCTGCCTCAGGCTAGCCGAGGGCTGTGCTTAAAGGGACCCGACCCCCACCCCGGACAGACAGTTCTCAGGGGTGCCCCACTTGCAAAGCAGTCCTGGCTTGGAGTGCCCTGAGTGCCTATACTGGGCACATCACAGCACTCGGCCATCAGACCGGCTGTACTTGCCGCAGGCTGCCATCTGGGGAGA